GTCAGCATCTGTAAATCTGTTCCACTTCAGAAAATACTCCACCTTCCCATTCACTACATGAGGATCCAGTACTTTTTCTACCACAAATTCTTCAGGCTCTTCTTCCTCAAATTTTTTTACTTTTTCCATTTTGTTTCTTCGCACTTTTGCAATGTAGTTTTATTGGAGGCCATTTTTTATTGCAGACTTGAAGAGCTATCATTCACCACTGGGGATGCTCACATCACGGTTCCACAGCATCTCAGCCTGCATGCCCACAGCTGTACTCCCTCATCTATTTTTTTATCTATGCCTACTTTGGCTTCATTGAATATGTCCTTCATTTTAATTGCCTTTTTTAACCTGGAAAATTATTTTCTATATAGCTTCATCTATGTGTTGTTTCACCTCTGCAGTTATCAATTCAGAAAGATCCACTGAGTGACTTCTATTTTCCTCTATCTCATTGTCCCCTGGACCTATCTTGGTGGGCTGACTATCTGAGGCTGAATTTTACTTCTGTGTCTTGTCATTTTCCAGTTTTTAAATTTTTGTTTTCTAAGTAGTTTCTTGCTGGTTTCTTATGGTATATAGCTTCATCATTTAAATCCAGATGACTTCTTGGGATAGATTTTTTTTATTTTTGTTTCTATTCCAAGATTCTACCTTCCCAAATTGTTATAGGTATGAGATTGTATCAATTTAGCTCAGCACCCTGTCCTTTGGTACAGAACTATGGTGATGGTTGTAACCCCAGATAATCACAGTGTTATCATATAAGAGAGAACTACTGGTTACAACATGTATGATATCCTGGCTAAAGTAATATAGTTAGCATTAAAAATACCATGCAACAAAGCCCACCGACTGATAAACTGTGGTATCTGTTAGTTTGGTACCTTTAATCATACAACCAAACTCTACCTTTCTATACCAAAATCCAACATTAACCAGGTACTTATAGGCAATGAGTTCCCCTTAGTAATTATACTACAAAGTTTCCATTATAAACACAGTATGGTACTGGAAAAAAACACCAAAAGACAACAATAACAACAACAAAACAGACCTAAAGACAAATGGAACAGACTAGAGGACACAGAAAGAACTCCAAGCACACTCAGTCACCTTACCTTTGACAAAGGGGCATGTTTACTGGAAGAAGGATAGCCTCTTCGATAAGTGGTGCTTGAAAAACTGGCTTTCTATATGGCGAAGACTAAAACCAGACCCATGTCTCTCACCATGCACTAGACTAAAATAGAAATGGATCAAAGATCTAAATATTAAAAGAGAAACACTAAATCTGCTGGAAGGGAGAATAGGGAGAACTCTTTAGGACATAAGGGTAGGCAAAGACTTCATGAACAAAACCCAGACTTCACAGGAAATAATACAAAGAATCAACAACTGTGATCTTATCCTATTAAAACATTTTTGGCTGAGGATTTAGCTTGGCAGCACAGCACCTGCCTGGCAAGCTCAAGGTCCTGAGTTCCATCCCTGGTATAAAAAAAGTTTGAGGGGGTGAAGGGAGGGCAGAGGTAAGGGGAAAAAATGAGAATCAAGACTTGCCATGTAGAGGTACATGATCCCAACAATGAATGTAACTGTACTGTATCCCTAAAATGTACCAATAAACTCAATAAAATTTAAAAAAAAAGTTTGCACTGCAAAATAAATCAACACAGTGGAGAGACAACCCTTAAAGTGGGGGAAAATTTTAACTAGTAGTAGTTCCTCAGACAAAGGATTAATATCTAGAACATCAAAGAATTGAAAAAAATGAGACCTCCCAAATGTAAAGACCCAATCCAAAAGTGGGCATCTGAAATGCATAGACACTTCTCAGATGAAGAAGTAGAAATGGCAAATAAATATGTGAAAAAATGTTTAACATTACACTGACCACCAGTGTGATGCAAATTAAAACAATACTGACATACCCATCTCATTCCAGAAAGAATGGCGAATATCAATAATTCAACCAACAACAAATGCTAATGGGGATGTGGAGAAAAAAGAACCCTTCTTGACTGTTGGTGAGAGTACATACTAGTGCAACCAGTGTGGAAATCGATGTGGAGTTTCCTCAACAACCTAGAATTAGAGGTCTCATTTGACCGTGGTACTCCTCTTCTGGGTATCTACCCAAAGGAATTAAAAGCATCATACCAGAGTGATATATGTGCACTTGTGTGTATAGCACCATAGTTTATGATAGCTAAATCTTGCAAATAACCCAAATGCCCACCAACCAATGAATGGATAAAGAGGATGTGGTTTTTCTATTCAGTAGAGTTCAACTCAGCCATAAGGATAAATTTAAAACATTCATAACTAAATGGATGCTCCTTGAAGCTATACACTTAAGTGAAATAAACTGGACACTCATGTGTAAATATTATATTGTCTCTCAGGTATAAGAAACTGAAAATGTAAATAAGCACCAAAATGTAAAACAGACAATGTGAAATAAAAAATCATTTAATAGGAAGGGATAACCAAAGGAAGGGAGGGGAAAGAAAAAGAAAAAATGAGAATAAAGGAAAAAATGGAAGTAGGTCTTTTGTAAATAAGGAAGGGGAAGTAGAGTTGAAGGGAGGGCAGGAGAATGGGGGAAAAAGGAATCAAGATAAGGGGTGGGGATTTAGCTCAGTGGCACCATTACTGCCTTGCAAGTGCAAGATCCTGAATTCGATCCCTGGTACAAAAAAAAAAAAAGATTCATCATGTAAAGGTACAAATTACCTATGAAGAAAGCAATCATTATGTAAATCTAAGTTTACCAATAAAAAGAAAAATGATTAAAAACAAAACAGAAAACAGACCAAAAAATCACCAAAAAAGAAAAGATTCATGACTCATGTAGTATTTACATAAATAAGGATATGAGATTATGCTAACATTAGATAATCCAAATGAAATGACATATTCTTTGAAACAAAAAAATGTTAAATTAACTAAAGAATAAATAGAAAATCTCAATAAAACTATATGTACAAGTAAAGAGATTGAATCAGTAATCCAAAACATCTCACAAACAAATTCTAGGACCAGATGATTTCACTAGTCAATTCTACTAAACAAAGAAGAATAAACATGAATCCACAAACTATTGGAAAAAACTGAAGAGGAGAGAACATGTCCTAATTTATTATATGAAGCCTGCATTACCCTGGTATCAAGGAAAGATGAAGCTATGACAATAAAAGGAATCACAACCCAATATATTTTATGAACATTTGTTTTAAAAGTCCACAACAAATTTTACCAAACTGAATCCTATAGCATATGAAACAACTATATACTGATAAATTGTGATTTACCCTATGAATGCAAGGATAGTTCAACATGAACAAATAAATAAATACAACATACCATACTAATAGGATGAAGAAAAATCATGATCCTCCATTGATACAGAAAAATCTTTTGATACAATCCAAGACATTTTTTATGATAAAAACATCCAGGAAATTAGAAATAAATGGGAATACCCTCAACCTGATATTTGAAAATTAAAAAATAATTAACATTTTACTCAATGGTGAAATAGTGAAAGCTTTCCCTCTAAGATCAGGAATAAGACAAGCATATCCCCATCCACCATCACTAGTCAATAATTTGCTGGAAATTCTAACCAGAGAAATTGGGCAAGAAATAGAAATAAAAGTCATCTAATTTAGAAAGGAAGAAGTGGAGCTATCACTGTCCACAGATGACATGACCCTATATATAGAAAATACCACAGAAACCACAAGTTTATGAGGTGTGTTTATTATTTTTTTTAATATTCTCTAGTTTAGGTTTTTAAAAATGTCCAGCCAATAGGGGTTGTTTCTAATTCCATTATTAATTTCTAATTTTTGCATTAGGATCAGATAATATTGTCTTTAATTTATGTGTTTTGGATTTTATTCAAATTTTCCTTTTCATCAATTCTGTAAATGTTCAAGGGGCACAAAAAAGGTGTTTTCTGTTCTCAGGATACAAAGTATATTTTCAGGCCATATTTCCATGAAATATAATAAATATATTTTTAGGGCTTTTGGATCTTTATTTTTTTGTTGTTTTTATTCATTGAAATGGCTGTCATAGATTGGGAGGAGCAAAGTAAATCTTATATGTTTATGTTTTCCATGTACCTCCTATACTTTGATATGAAAATCTGTCAATGTCATTACATAAACACAAGAAGAAAAAAACTAACCAATAATTTCTAAATACTAAAATATAATATTGAAATCATAACAATACAATTCATTAATATATTAAAACAACAACACATCATGACCAAATACAATTTATTCTGGGAATGCAATGATGATTTAATCTAAGGAAATCTATTATTACAACTTAGTATTTTCATACTTTAAAAGAGAAAAATCATGATGATCTCCTTAAAGTCTGAAAAGACATGTAATTCAATTCAGTATCCATTGATTTAAAAGAATTCTAAAACAACAAATAAGCACACCATAAAATGTATATCTAAACATATAAGCCAATGCCATCTTTAACGATGAAACAGTGGCAAGCTACTACATAACTGCCAAAGGTTACTACAGTTTTGATAATTTCATAAGAAAATATTAGCAGCATCTCACTTTTTCTTTTTCTTTTCAGTACCAGGGATTGAACCCAGGGACTCACACATGCTAGGACAGCACTCTACCAAAATGCTGCATATCCAGATCTGATATTTTGATTGTGGTTGGGAAGACTCTGTAGCCTACATTTAGTCAGCAGTAAACTTTGACTAGATCTTCGACTAGACTAACCTGAGAACAATTGTATCACATTGTATAATAAACATGGTTTCATGAAAAGCAAAGTAAAAAATACTCTTAGCCCAAGCAGTACATAATGGAGTGAAAACACTAGCATATAGAATGGAAAAAATTAGTTCTTAAAGAATCATTTGTTTAACAAGTATTGAACAAATTTTTGGTGATAAAGGTTAAATTCAGATTCTAATCTCTTCATAACTGTTACAAAACTCCCAGTTCCCAGGTTACCTGTTTGTTTCAGGAGATTCCAGATGCCTTTGCATTCCTGAGTCTGCTTAAGTGCACGATTCAGTAACTTGGCATATTTGGGAATAATGCAACAAAGCAATTAGTCTCAAAAAAGAACTTTAAAATTGATATATCTCATATAAATTTCATTAAAAACAGCTAAAGACAAAATGATTGAAAAATGATAGCTGGAACTGAACATTTTTGAATTGTGATAGATATATTAATTCTAATAAACTTTTTCTTTTTGTCTCAAGAAAGTGTGATTTAAACAGAACCTTCAGCATTATAACTTCTTTAATAATTGAGAATAGAAGAGAAACATTTCCAGAATGGTAGTTTGAGGAACTTAATAGACTCTCTTCCAAGCAAAACAAAAATAACTGATGAAATTTATAAAATACAATTATGTAGGTGTCATAGTTTGTGTCTAGATGTTTCCCCAAAGCTTCATGCAGTCATAGGTGGGGCTTTTCCAGAGGTGACTGGATCTACAGTGTGTGATGCTGGGATTAAGGGTGTGTGACTGCTAAATCAATCCACTGATTGGTTTGGTACCACTGTAATCCCAGTATTCTAGTAGAGCATAATAGAGGCAGAAAAAAGCTGCTAAGGTCCCTTGCTTGCTTTGCTACCTTCTGCCTTCCCTGAATTGTTTCTCCAGCCAATTATAGACTGAAACCTCTACAGACTGTGAGCTAATAAACTTTTCCCCCTTTAAATTTGGGTGTTGGATATTTCATCTCAGCAATAAGAGAAAAGTAAGACAGTAGGGCTGGGGGTATAGCTCAGTGTTAGAGTGCTTGCTTGGTTAGGTTCTATTCTCAAAAATAAAACAAATAAAACACATGAAAAGTCTGAGTAAACTTCCCTGAGGGCATAGAAAATGAGTATTTACTTCAGAAGATGTACTTATTTTCACTAAGAATAGTGAGAACCTATGATATTTGAACCACTACATCTTTACTCTCCTCCCCATAGCTCAGTGTGATATAAATGCTCTTTTAGGCAAGTGTGGCCAAGTTTCCAGGGTAGGAATTCATTGAAGTGCCAGAAAACTGACATTATACAACCTCCCGGTCTGTGTTATATAAACTCTACTATAAACAAGCAGAGCTGAGATGCCTGGGGTTTTGTTCTCTGCTCCCACTTGTGGGGCAAAATCTCTACCTTATGCACAGAAAATTCATAATACTTGGCCTCAATTATTTTCATATCATTTTGCTTATAGGATAGAATTTCCACACTGGGAAATGTAAGGCAAAAATATCAGGGACTACAACTCTTGCTCATTCCCCCATTCATAGAACTAGTAAAACAGTAAAAGAAGCAGGTCATAAGAATTGTCTCTATAGTTCTCCATAAGAGGAATGACTTTAACTGGAAAAAGCTTTAGAAAGTCCAGGTCTAAGGGCACTATAAAAAATCATGAAGATTTTTGGAAATGAGTATTTAAGAGGAGGCTGATAGATCAATGATATTAACACAGAGAGCTACTTGAAGTTTACAGAGAGAATCAAGCAAAGAGAAAACTAGAAATATTCCTATCCTTTCAAGGGGGCCTTATTTTAGTTGGAGTATAATGTGGAACAATTTGTTCCCAAAAGTATGTGAGAAAACAAGGGAAGGAGAAAGGGGGATATGAATCATCTAGCAATTAGTCAAGACTAAACTAACAGCTGGATGATCACCCAAAAGCTTAAAAGGGAGATCAGGAAAAGAGACAGTAAAGACGAACTCTTCTAAAACCCTGTAATCTCTTCAAGGATGATGGTTCAGAGTTATTGCAAAGTCAAAACTGTGCATACTATAATATAGCGGAAATAGACCTCACTGAACGAGCCCAATAAATTCACTAAACAAAGAACCAAACATTAACAAAATCAACCCTCACAGGAGGTCAGTATCCAAAGATGCTACAATACTATTATCTACATGTCAAATATTCAGAAAAATCTTACAAGATATGTAAAGAAACAAAAAAATCAACTTATACACAGGAAAAGATCTGGTAACAGGAAATGACTTTGAAAAGGTCCAGATGTTACACTTAGCACACATATTGCTTTTTTTTTCCATTCAGTTTATTGGTATATTGTAGGTATACAATACAGTAAAATTAATCATTGGGATTTTGAAAAAAAAAAAAAAGAAA